AACACCTACCCCCTGCCTTTTCCAGCAGCCTTTCCATACCTAGTGGCCCAGCCCTTGATCAGGAAAGCCCCAAAGGGTTGGATGCAGATCTGGCTTTGTAACTCTAACAGATCTGGCTTTGTAACTCTAACAGCACTGGCCTCGTGATGCAATTTTTTTTTCTTACCCCGTGAGGCCGGAAAGCCAGTTGGGAGTGGGCGCGCCACGGCCCCAGCCTGGCCCAGCCCAGCCCAGCCCGGCCGCGCCTGGTTCTGTGGGAGGCTGCTGCCGGGGCTGAGCTGGAGTTCCAGGCCAGGGCCGCTGCGCCAGCCTCGGTGACGTCGGTGCCTCCTGTGAATAGTGGTGCCTGAGGAACACAGGCTTGTCTCTATTCTGCCTCCCCCACCCCCATCCTCTCCTCCCCCTGCTCCCCAAGCCTCCTCTCCCAGCTGGAGCTCCAGAGGGTTTTGTTTGTTCAGCTTGGGAGCCCAGAGGGTGGAGTCCTGTCAGTGAGGCCTTTCATTCCCCTCCCCTGCCCACCGCCCCAGAGCCGGGGGCAGGGCTCCACCCCAGCCAGCCTGTTCATTCAGCTCCAGCAGGAGAAATAGCCCTGTCAGCAGCAGCCACGGCCCAGAGCACAGGGTGTCTGTCTCCACACCTCTCAGCTGCTCTCTATTAGGCCATGCTTGGCTTAACCCTTGCTTACCACCCCTTGTGCCTCTCTCAGATGGGACTTGGGTGCAGAGAGGGGAAAGATGCTGCCTTTGGAACTCAGCTGGCGAGGGGTTAAAACAGCCTGTGGGGTTGGGGGGGTGGAGGCTGAGCAGTGTGCGGTGTGTGGGATGGGGTGAGGGCTTGAGAGTATGTGTAGGATGGAGGGGTTTGCAAGTGCAGGGTGAGCTGTGCTCTGTGGAGATGCAGTTTGGTTGAGGCTGAAGCGTGGGGCTGTGTGAGAGGTGGCAGTGCATGTCTGGGAGGTCTGTAAGGGGAGGTGCAGGTGTGTGTTATCCTTGTGCTGCATGTCCAAGCCAGGGACTGGGACCTCACTCTGCTTGGTGCTGTACCTAGAGCATGGTGTGAGGATATAAGGTGTTTTTTTTTTATTGCACCACCAAACTCAGGATCTATAAGCAGCTCTTAATGTAGCTCCCATTCATGTATGCATGCTGAGTGTCATGGGTATTGGCTCTCCTGCCATCTGCCCAAGAAGGTCCTTGCTCTCTTGTAACTGGTTTGACTGTTTCCTGCTGGAGGCGGGACCCCCTGACAGAATGCGGGTAATGTGCTGGGATGTCTTAGTGTGGCGCCAGTGGTGCTCTCTGAGCCCAGTTTCAGGTGTTGCCCAAATCACAACTTGGCTGTGGCTGGGAGATGAACATACAAGGAAACCAGAGTTGCATTTTTAAGTCAGATGGATGTTGCAACTGAGATTCTGTACTAGTTCAGGACCTGTCCGTGCTGCATCTCCTGTGCCTTAGCTGTTTTCAGCTGATTCAGGTGGGATGCCAATGAGCTTTGGATGGTTGGTAACTCTCTCCCCATCATAACAGGCCACAAGCCCAAATTGCTGCCGTGAATTATCTGCTCCACTAGATGTGGAAATGTCGGGCTAGGGTAAGACTTCGGTCCTCCAGTCGTTACCTGTGGGAGAAGTGGATTTTATGGGGTGATCTTGTAAAGAATAGTGACACTGAAGCGGCATTCACCACCCCTGGCTAGCCCCCTGTTTCCTTGTATAGACTTCTGGCAGAGCATTTGGGCAGTGCTGGAACTGCCTTTAACCAGTTGGAGCTTGCATTGCCCTGGGTGCTGTGTTAGGTATTTCCCACTTGTTACATTTGAAGAGTCTGTGTTGATGGGGGCATTAACTCCGTGGCCCACTTTCTGGCTTGCGGGAGCATGCATGTGTGCTTCCCAATGTCCAGACTGTACCTCTATGCTTCTGTTCACACTGGAGCTGCAGTAACCTGGGCATGGTGTTGTGGTCTCGGAGTGCTCTAAGACTTGGTTTGTGGCATATTGTGTGGAAACCTTTCTTCCTTCAGGGCCTCTGAACACAAGTGTTCGTTGCACCCACAGCATGTTTAGCTGAGACACTTTTGCATTTGTGTGCTCCTCGCTTCTGTCTGCTCCAGCCAGTGACAATCCAGGAATCCAGCACAAGTGGATGAGTTGTTCCTGCTTGTGACTGCATTGGTATTGTAGCAGGATGCAGTTGGAGGGTGTGAGAGGTGGTGGAAGGCAGTTTCTTTATGCTGGATGGCAAGGTCATGGAGAGGGAACAACAGTTGCCTACTCCATGGGTGTATGTTCCCCATATGTAGATTGGTACTTCTGGTGTAGGACATCTTGCATGTAGTTTTAGGGTCATATTGTTCTGGTATGATCAGAACTTCCACACAAGGAAGGACATGTTCTGGAACCCCATGAGAGAGTTTACCTTGACTTTCTTGTGCCAGCAGACACAAATGGAGGCATGTTGCTGTCAGCTGTGGGTTGGCTATCCCAGACTGCTTAAAGGTCCGTGGGTAGCCAGTTGGATATTAAGTGAACTTGGTGCTGAGGCAGTGACCGTTTGTGAGATGAAAATGTCAGTGGTGGACATGGTCCTTGTGTCTGACATCCCAGCTACATTTGAGAGAATGGCTCCAGCACGTTTCAGGAAGCCCCTTGATAGTGCTTAGGTGTCTGTGATTTGGTCACAGTAAAAAGCATGCGAAGATACTAGCTCAAAGACCATTAGTCAGTGACCATTGGCCAATCAGAGACAGGTCAGTGAGCGCCAGCATTGGTGCAGAGTCAGGGTATCAGGATCTCTTGGGGTGCACGGAGTCAGAACCTGTTGGGGTATGTAGGGATCTTATTCCTTCCTAACAATATGGTTATCAATGTGGGGTCTATTGTTAATGTCAGGGGTGTTGCTTATCCTCAACTGCTGTGGCTCAGGAAATCATATCCCAACCTCAGCCCCCCTTGAAGGAGAGAGCTTAATTAAACACCCCCCCACCTGGAGATGCAACACAGCAGGGAAACCTGCATGTGGCAGGCTGAAAGCAGGATGCTGCTGTCCACAAAGTCTTTGGGCTACCTGCATAGGTAATGCCATCCTCAAGTTGTGCATGTCACAGCCCAGCACAATCACCTGTACTGTGAGGGTGTGAGTATTTGCCAGGAGCAGGCCCAAGGAACTGCCTGGTAGAGGCAACCATAGATTGAGCAAGGGAAATGGGAATACAGGTGCACAACCGTATCACTGGGAGATGCATGTAAGGATATACAGAACCACATAGCACACACTGGTACTTTCCTCTTGGCCTGGAGATAGACAGTCTTCATGTAATGGACTTCTTGCATTTGAACAGCTGTTGGCTTCATTGTCATCTTCTTCTGCCTTTTCAATTTTTTTTTTTTGTATGCGCAGGTTTAGACTGCTTGTTCCAGCCTCCATATAGTCCCTGTGGTTACACTAAAGGGTAAGCAGAACCCTATGTCATCTGGCCAGCTATGAGCATGGTGGGATAGCATCATCTAGGGACTTTTGGCAGTGGTGTTCTGGAGTAGGCTGGTAGGAATGAAGGGTTAAACGCTGAACAGATATACATAAACCGGCAGGTAGCTACTGGCATGTAGGTGGTGTGTGGGATGTCAGTTGGCAGAGGGGCCAGCAAATACAGGTTTGGGAAACCATGGGATGGCACTGGAGGACTGTCAAAACCTGAGCCCTGCTTCCTGGGTTCTAGCTACATTACAAGTGGGCATATCCAAAGAGACCCCCCCACCCCTGATGTTAATCAAAAGGAGAACTTGCTCTGATCTGTACACCCAGATGGTCAACACGAGGCTGGGTTGAAAGCTCCCATAACTACAGGCAGGTGAGGTTTTGTAGGAGGGCTGTTGGGAGTTTTGGCTGAAATCTGGCTAGAAGCCTGTGCTACAGACAGACCCTTTTGTCTGAGCAGCAGGCTGGAATGTGCTGGAAGATGAAGGGTTAAAACAAGAAACAGCTTTCCTCTCTGTGCAAGAGACTCCCATTCTTTGTCAGGCTGCTGTAGGTTGGGTGGAGCAGGGAGCCATCTCTCCCTCTCTCCCTTACTCAGGGCTTTTGGGGAGAGTGGACAGGAGCAAACTCCCTTTTCACTGCCACCCCTGAACCCCTCGGCCCCAGTGAGGGGGAGAAGTGATAGATGTGCTTTAAATAGTTTGCCTTGGGGGTCTTACCTAGGACCTGGCTTACTGGGAGGGTGTGCAAGGGTGTGTATCTGGAACGGCTCCATCTTTGTGTGTGTGTGTAGCTGCCAGAGGTGGGATGCATTCTCATTAGATGACCCCACAAGTGCAAACCGTGTAGGGGTCTCCTGCTTGGGCAGCCAGCCTGGGGATGGGAGGCCACCTCCATCCCCAATGGGTGTTGGGGCAGAGGCCCTTGAGATCGTCTCTGCTGACCCTGTGATTCCTAGAGGGCCCCTCACCCATAGTAAAGCAGACACCAGAGCAGTGTCCCTTAGTGGGAGCCCTTGTCAACTCCCATTGCTGCCCCCCGTCTGCGTGTCTCCTGCCCACTCTGCGGGGAGCACACCCTGACCTCCCTGTCCTTGCCCGGTGCTGCGTGCTCTTGGTTGCCATGGCGAGCATTGTCTCTAAATATTGCAACCAGTTGTCAGGCTCAGATCTGCTGCGTTTTCCCCTCCCCCTTTCTCCCCACCTTTCTCTCCTGCCCGTTTCTCCCTTCCAGCGCATGGGGAGCTCACAGCCCTGAATGACCCATTTAGCTGCAGCTTGTGTGCCAAGGGACAGAGGCCAGAGCAAGGAGCCAGGCGCTACTCTGGAGGCCAGGCTACCTGGGGATGAGCGAGCTGGCATGCTTCCGTGGCAGGGGAGGGGAGGAGGAAGGCGGAGGCGGCGGCTGCGGGCTTGGCTTGGCACTCAGCCCCTCCCTTCCCCTCCCTACCCCTCCCCTCCTCTCTCCCTCTCTGCAGCTTGTCCCTTTTAAGGAGCTCCACCCAGGGTCAGGCCAGGGTGGAGCTGTCAGACTATTCACACCTCACAGCTCCAGGCTGGCGGGCTGGAACAGCCAGAAGCAGCAGCAGCAGCAGCAGCTCTTTATTCAGAGGACTGGGGGCAGCCAGTAGATTTCTGGCTGTTGCTGGGTAGCCACCAGCCGTGCCCTTTTCTGGAGAGTGGGGGAGGCCAAGGGGCCCCAAGTCACTGGGCTTGGTCTGGGCAGCTCCCAACGCAAATATCTGCTCGCAATAAGCTGCTGCCATCAGCCACATCTTTCTTCTTTCCAACCCTCCTTCTTCGTTCGTCCTTTCATGGAGAGGCGTGTCGGGGAGGCACTTTGCTGAGCGGCTTGTGCAACCCGGGACTCTTGCCAGCTCTGGGTTGAGTTTCCAGGCGGCTGGGCCAGAGGAGGTGAGAGGTACCGGGGGATCCTGCTGACCGCCACCAGGCAGAGCCACGGGGTGTATTGTCCTGTGGTGGAGGGGACCCCCTCTGGACCCGTTGGTCACTGGACCAGAAGCATCGTCTGGCCCTCGTGTGCGGTGAGGGGGCAGTTGTGTAGAACCGGGTTCAAGAGTATGATCCTCCCCGTGGAAGACATAAGCACAGTGCACTTGAGGAGGAGCCCCCAGCACGCTGCGTGGGTGGTAAGTGACCCTGGAGGAGAAGGGGGCACTGAGAGAGCTTGACAAGTTGGCATAATGCTGCCTGCCCAGGTGCTATCGTGCATGGTGGAGGGCACCTGCTGCTTCCTGGCAGTTGGGAGCCCTTGGGGGTTCCTTGCGGGTGGGGGGTATCGCTCCCCATCTCATTGCAGCCCTGGCTGGGGGAATGCTCTGATCCCTGTTTGGCCTCCAGCCCCCCACCTCCATGATTACATGCCTCAAGCCAGGACATGTTTCCCATTTCCCCCACCCCTTACCTTTAGTCAGAGGGGTGGAGGAAGGGAAGTACGCTGGACCTAGCTATGGGACCTGGGTTGGGGATAAGGGGGAGGTTTGCTTTGCTCAACCCTGTGAATCTGTCCCTTTTGGGGGGGGGGGGGGAGAGAGAGAGTGTGTGCGCGTGCGCACATGCCCCTCCTCCAAAGCTGGTCCATGGAAGCCTAAGGCGGAAGCTTCTGCAGGAAGCATGGTGCACTGCCTCTCTAAGGGGAGGTTGAGGCAGGACATCAGGGACCTTTAAGGAGCAGATGGTGTGCTCAGTGGCATGCACTGTGCCTTTAAGGAAGGGAGGAGGAAGGTGCACCGCACCCACCCCACCTCCCTGGCTCTCTGCAAGTCTGATGCCCCTAGCAGACACCAGGTGGCAGCAGCAGCAGGAGGCTGAGCAGCAAGGAGCAGCTGCACAGAACAGGGGTGCTGAGAGGGCTGTGGTTAATCCTGGATTGCAGTAAACCCCCTGGGAGTTCACGTCCCACCCACCTGGGGTGTTGTGGGGGGATTGGTAGAGATCGGAGTGCACTGCATGGCCTGGATTGACATTGACATTAGTCATTTTGTGGTACTCAGTTGTATTAAGGCCAGCTCTGCTCTGAGACAGTGTCCACTTCGCCGATTGGATCTCTGCTGGCACCCTGGCATTGGGGCAGGGCTGTGGAGGGGTGTGATCCATGCCTGATACTGCTGCACGTGGCAGCATGTACAGACCCCATCAGCCCAACAGACCTCCTTAGAGCATTTCCTGGGGTGGTGACACTGGGACACAGCCCAGTGCTACTGGTATAGGTGCATCCGCACCAGGCATGCTTTCCCAGTGCCCCATCAGCAGTACAGTGCTTCTGACGTGGACATTAGCCTCAGCAGAGTTCAGTGGGCCTGCTCAGGGCTGGGCCATGCTGCTGCAGCCCCTTTGTTTCTCTTCCTTCCCTACCTTCCTCCTTCCCCGTCCCTCTTGTCTTTGCAAATCTTTTCCCCGCTTAGCATACTTCCATTCAGTAACTCCAAGTTCCTACCCTGCCAGGGCTCCACCCCTACTTCCTTTGCTGTCCCATCCCTATAATGATCAGTAATGAAATAGCAAATGGTGATGGTTAAGTCTCATCACTGGGCTGTGGAACTGATCCAATGGGATTGCAGGAGCAGCAGGGGAATGTAGCCGTCTCCATCATTTGGTTCAGGCTCTTTGCAGACTCAGGCAGGCATGCATCACTGTACCTTAAGGTTGCATTGGGAAGGTGTGCTCTCCAACTGGGAGAGTCCTGGATGAAAGCTTGGATCCAGCATACTTTGATTGTTGTACAAAAATACATTGTGTAGGTAGAATCTTGCTGTTTAACACCCCTGCTGCTAAACTCCTTGGGAAGAAGGAGAAATGGGAAAGATCTTTCTGTTGAATAATGGGGGAAGGGGGCAGAGTTAGGTTTAGGTAAGATATTAGGAAAAACTTTCTCACTAAGAGCGTAGTAAAAAAGTGGAACAGGTTACTCGGAGAGGTGCAATCTCTGTCTTTGGAGGCTTTTAAGACCTCGGTAGACAAACTTTGGCTGGGATGATCTAGTTGGGGATGGTTCTGCTTGAGCAGGGGATTGGAATAGATGACCTCCTGAGATCCCTTCCAAGCCTCATTTTTTTTTTTTTTTTTTTTATTTCCAGGTCAAGACTAAGATGCTGTGGTAGGGGCTGGTGTGCCTGTGGTTATATAGAGCAGTGTTTCTCAATATTTTAAGTAGCAAGTACCCCCTAAATTCTGAAAATTTTAATAAGTACCCCAACACTCAATTTTCCAGGGGATTTTATGTTTACAGACTAATGTGTGCTATATGTTGGAAGAAGGGCTTTGTATATAAGGCCGTGATATGACAGATGTCTGATCTGGTGTGGGTAGGGGTGCACAACTCAAGTATGTAACTGGGCTAGAGGTGACGTTGGCCAAAGCTAGGAGGGCTGAACCCAGTGCATGCCAAATTATTACTGGGGAACACCAAATTTTTTGCCGTAGTTTTGAGAGGTGGAAAGGGCAAGAGAGAGAGGAAAAGAGGGTGAGAGAGAGAGAGTGTTGGACTGCCTGCATACCCCCTGCCTGTCTTGTGTACCCCCAAGGGTACACGTACCACAGGTTGAGAAACTGTGATGTAGAGGAATCACTCTAGCACTCTTGCTCTGCCCCCTTCCCCCAGTACTGAGGCTGCCTTGTGGTTCCTGTGCCCTCCCACTCTGTTGTTTGTTTTTGTTTGTTTGTTTTTATGTCTCAGGCCAAATTAGTCAAATCAGTTCTGAATTCTGTCAACTGAGAAGAGCTCAGTCGTTCAAGTCTGTGTGGCAATACCATTGCAAGTATCCTGTCTCCCAGATTCTTCAGCTTGGGGCTTCACATACTCCCAAATCCATGGCAGGCATCCTACCTGCAGGCCCCAACCCCAGAGGCCTTGGAGTTCAGATGCCCCCTAATCTCGCTTGCCCTTCGCCAAAAGGCCAAAGGAGCAAGCTAGGGAGAAATCCCCCATCTCCATAAAAATAAAGCGTGTAGCCACGGATCCTTCTGTTGGGAGGCTATAATAGACTTTCATAGAGGGGCCTGCCCTCAGTGCAGTAGTCAAGTCTCCACCTTTAACTACACAGTGCCATTCAAGGTGATCTTGGCCCACAAGAGGCTGAGATTCTAGGTGTGAGCCCCTGTGAGCCAACAGGGACTACATACTACATGTTATGTGAGCCAGAAGGCTGAAAAGTAATGGGAACCTACCAGAAGGCTAGATCAGTGCAGCCCATCTGAAAAAGATCACCATGTGGGCAGAGCCTGAGTGCTGGCTCTGGTCAAGAAACTCCCCAGACCACGCACATCATCTGTCCTTTGTATACTATAATGCCAAAGATCCTCTGTTTTGTGGACACCTCTTGGCCTGATCTCTCTCAGTCTGGATCCTCCCCTCCCCCATCTCCCTTGGCTTCTCCAGCAGTTCCAGGGAAAAGCCAAGAGACCCCAAAGAGAACAGTGTGAATATAAGCTTGCCTTCTGTCATGAACTCGGCTATTGGGTTATGTTCTTCCCTCTCTCCATTTTCTCCCTCCATTGCTGGTTACCCCTTCTCTGCAGGCTTGCAGTTTTGCATTCCATAATAACCAAATTTCACCCTCCTGCCTGTGATCACTACTGCTTTAATTCCTCCTGCTTTCCACAGTGTGGGGCTGGTCCCCTGTGAAGGTGCTTCGTTCACCATTTTTGGCATCTTTTCCAAACTGGATCATAGCTGATTTAAAGACACCCAGACAAAGAAAGACATGAGCCAGCAGGACCTTGGGACCCGGGGCAGCTGCTCCAAGAATCACTGGAAACACAAATGACTTGGATGCAGGTTAACTATAGGGAAGATTCAGGCCTTAATTTTTACCTCAGTGCTGCCATTTAGATCAGCGTTTCTCAACCCGCAGGTCACAACCCAAAAGTGGGTTGCAAGAATATATGAAAGGGTTGCGAACAAACTTTAAAAATGGATTCTCCTTTAAAGGAGAAAAATGAGGGCAGCTGGCTTTTTCCTTGCAGGCTGGTAGGGTCCCAGCCTTCAAGGGGTGCTTGGAGCTCCCCATAGCACCCACACACTCACCCCTTCTCCATACACTGGGGGGTTGGGGTCTGGGGGCACTGGCTATCAGTGTTTACAACTGGGTCCTGGTACAAAAAAGGTTGAGAACTACTGATTGAGATGATCATCCACTGGCACTCGGAATTAAAACTCCATTGAGGCAGGAGGAAATAGTTCACAATTCATCCACCCAGGCTCTCTGCAGACTCAATCAGTTTATTGAATTCAACCTAATTGATTTAAACTAGATGTAAACCAATTTGAAGTGTACCCCCATTAGGATTTTGTACTAGATTTAAATTGATTTAAATTTCACTAGTTTACAACTTGATTCAGCTTTACCTTCTTATGACTGGAAGGTCTGGGGCCTCTGAAGAAAACTGTGGAGAGATGTTGTGGCCAATTTGAATGCAAAACTACAAATCCTTTGGCTTTCCCAAATAATCCTCATGCTGAGACTTTTATTCCAACCCTCCTAACCACCTGTTCTATCATTTAACAATAGGGGCCAGCTTTTTTGGCAAACACATCATAAACTAAGTCCTGCCCCGTTCTCGAGTGCCACTCCAGTCCTGTTCCCCTAACCAATTTGCTGCTTTTCTTTCTGTTTTTTGTTGTATTTGGTGCCATGTTCCCTGCTCCCTCTCTTATCTTTCACATGCCACTCAGACTGTGCATGCCACTTTTGGCATACATGCTGCAGGTTGGCCACCCCTGTTCTAGAAGATCCTTGGTAGATTTTGATACATTGTGCACCTGAGGGTTCTAGAGGCTGAGCACTGTAGCTCTTTTGGGGCCATTGCAGGCAGCAAGGAACCTGCTCCAGAGCCGTGCCTGGGACTCCCAGGGCAACAAGGGAATGCAGCTTCTATTTTTCGTGTTTTCCTGTGTCTGTGGGGGAGAGTAGAGAGGTGCTACCAAAGTCTCCTGGAGAGGCAATTCTGTTCCATATGCCTCATCTCTTCCTTTTAGGAGCGAAGCATGTTGAAGTGGATGCAGGGGGGAGGGCACTGGTTTTCTCTTGCTGTGCATGGGCCCCCTCCTCTGTCCCAGAGGAAGGAGCAAGAATGAGCTGCTTAGAAGCTCCCAGCTGGGCTGGGCTTGGATATCCTGGCCTTTGGGATG